GCGGCATGTGGCATCACTATTTCCAAATAACCTATAGATAAGGACTTTCAGTTATTTTTGTTAATCTACGGTAATCAACAGCCTTCAACTGGAACAATCCATTGAAATTTTCACTGCACTGGCAACATATTTTCTCATCATTTAGCTACACGATCGCATTTTGTACTGTAAATTACAAATACCTTTCCTCCATTTGCGCGTTATTGTCTTTTCTCTGAATATGATAAAAGTAATAGACTTCACTTTCAATCCCTGGATTCATGAATGAGCACTACAAATATTTCATACTACGACGGGCAGGTTGTTAACAAGTTGCAAACCGAAAGTAACTTATTAAATAAATGAATTTATCTCATTCTGCTATTTGTTCTTGCTTTACTCAAATAATATAACAATTACACAGTACATAAATAAACTTCTAGTTGTACGCCAGTAAAGTTTTCCGTATACTGTTTTTAACTTCTTTTAGAAAAAGGAGTTTGTATATGAAGTTGAAAGCAAATATAATTATCGATGTATTCAAAAAGTCAACTACAACCACTCAGATGAACTTATGAATAAAAGTTTTAGGGTTGATCCAAGTTACTTACTTGAAGGTACTTTTACTCAAACAAGCCGCTCACTATGAGAACGAAACATAAATTTTCACACAAGCTACTTGCGAATGCGTTAATAAATATTCCAGCACAACGGTCTACTTTGTTCAACCAAGATGTAACAGTAATTTGATACATATATTTTAGAACTATTTGCTTTGAAAACGCTGATGAAATGTACGGTTAATCATTTTTATCATTTGTTGTACCTTACCATTTTTGCTACATAGACCTCTACGATACAACTAACTGTCTTACAAAATTTTCCCATTCATAACTTTATCAATCAAAAGGAAACCTGAAACAGTTATCTAACTTCATTGCATGTTTGTAGTGGAATCGAATCTATCACTATCATTGATTCGTTGATGACAAAACTAATTGTGGCCATGTCTGTCAGGTAACAAGCTAGAACACTTGTTCTGATGGTAACTTCGAAAATCTATCATGTGACATTTATTCCCAATGTCTTGATAGTAATGAATGTATGGAGCTACTTCTATCCTTTAAGGTACACCAGACGTGACCCCCAATCTCACTAACTTTAAAGATATTTAAAATTTACGACATAACACAATTTCTACCGAAGATTTTTGATATTTTACCCTTAAATTTTATAAATACGCTGAATAAGAGGATGAGTAACGATAGAATTTTCATCACATGGACCGAGAGACAGACAGACAGATACAATACAGAACTTCGTACGTATGTACATCAGTTCAGGTTACCATAGCATTTCAGCACAGAGACACAATTGTCAATTCAAATCCCATGGTGGTAGCAATAGTAGAAGTATTAACAGTAATGGAGAAGATTAGCGTATAATTCGGTGAGATAAAGTTAGAAAGAGAAAGATAGAGATGATGAGGAATTCAGAAGGCTAGAAATTCAGAGAACACAAAGAGTGGATGCACTTGCGCCATTGCTAACGATTTTGAGCCATGTCGTTCAAAGTCTCTAACCATCGGTGACTTTCGTCTCGCAGACCCCAACCAGGTAGCCTATATCTCCCAACATGACTCAGTCCATTTTTCACTGAATTCATGGATTTCTGCTATGTTTCGGTTTGGCCGCCCCTAGCTTTCTTCCAACCTACTCCTACACCACAAAACATAGTTCGTCGAGGCAGTCGGTGGTTAGGCATACGCAACACATGTCCCAACCACCTCAACTGATGAAGTTTCACTACTTCATCTATTGATCTGCCATCCCTACCTAGAACTCGTTTCCTAACGGCAGCATTGCTTATACGGTTGTCCCATGATATACGAGCAATGCTTCGGAGACACCTATGATCGCGAAGACAAGCAATCTACGAATGTCCTTTACTCTCTCTGGCCATGTTTCGCATCCGTGTAGTAGGACGGGGCGAACTACTGCGCAGTACACTCGCCCTTCAGTGAGCAAACGGATATCTAGCCTCCGCCATAGGTGATACATGTTGGCAAGAGCCAATCGAGCCTTCTATATCCGTGCTGAGATTTCTTCACACACTAGGCTCCTGGTAAAAGGTCCACTGCTAAAGAGTCAGAGGATGATGATATTAACTCTAGAAGTATATCTACAACAAAGTTAAACAAGAATGGGGAGAGTGGAAAACCCTCGTAGACACCAGTTGAAGTAACTAATTCTGATGACAGTTCGCCATAAGCTCTTACTCGACCAGTGGTGTCCGAGTAGAGAGCCTGTATAAGGTTAATGTACTTCTTTGGTACACCTTTCAGTGACAGACACAGAACCTCGCGATCCACAGAGTCGAATGCCGCTTTAAGGTCGAGAAATAATACTATTGACGGACGCCTAAATGTGTCTGTCTTCCAAGACCTGACGTAGTGTAAAAATGTGGTCTATACAACCACGTCCAGGTCGAAAACCAGACTGGTTTTCTCGAGTCTGCTCTTCACGAGCTCTAGTTAGACGTCTAAGTATAATCGAGGCTAACAATTTAGAAACTATATTAGTTAGACTGATTCCCCTGTGATTGTCACAAGAAGACTTTTGTCCTTTATTGTAGATTGGGACAATTAGCGACTGAGACCAGTCGGATGGGATTACTTCCAGTTCCCAGATTCTGCCTACAATCTCAGTCAATCTAGCTGCTAAAACTGGACCACCATCCTTAAATATCTCAGGGGTCAGTCTATCAGGACCTGCAGCTCGTCCTCGTTTCAGATTTCCTAACACTTTCTCAACGTCATTAAGACTAGGGGGACTTAGGTCGATTTGCCATTCAGGATGACTGGAGATCGTGGGTAACGGAAGAGTTGCTCGAGGCCAGTTGAACTGATCCCTAAAGTGTTCTGCCCATCGGTCCAATCTCCTTGATTGAGAATGGATAATAATCCCATCCTTTTCCGAGATAGTCTCACTTACATTCGGGTTCCTAATACCGGTTTCTTTGATAAGTCGGAAAAGTTGTCTAGTGTTGCCTATCGCCGCTGCCTTTTCCATCGCTTTGGCTTTCGCCACCCTCCACTGTTCACGGTCGTTACGTAGGCTTTTTATAAGTCTGCGCCTAAGCTGACTACGCTCAGAGTCAGGTGGGATGAGTTTACGAGCGTCTGTCAGTTCGGTGGATGCGACTGAAATCCACGGCTTCATCCTAGCCTTATGGTTTACCTTGCTAGCATATATCACTGCTGTTTACACAGCCTTCTTGATATCATTCCAACCTGCCTCCGGAGGGGAATCACTTGCGTGGTCGCCTAACTGTTTTTCTAGTCCCTCCTGAAATATTTTGAGCTTGATTATCATCAAGTAAAGCCCTAAGAGGCTTCCTTACGGTATCTTTCCTACGTCCAGTAAGCTGATGATGAATCTGAATCTAAGCATGTGCTCCAGAACGAGCGACAGTCCTCTATCGAACCCCTCCATTGGTGGCTGATGGCGACATTATCCAGTTGCGTCCAACGTTGAGACGACTTCGGGGATCGCCAGGTCAAAAGATGTTTCTCCTCATGCCTAAAATTAGTGTTTGCTAGAAATAGGCGGTTATCTGAGCCCAATTGCAACAGACGGTCGCCATTGTCTGTTCTTTGAGCCGTGAGACCATAACATCCACCTAGGTGTCTTTCGTTTTCACTCAGTCTACCTACTTGAGCATTGAAGTCACCAGCCATTATAACTATATCAGAGCGCTTAACTTTTTGGAGGAGGTCCGAAAGCTTTCTGTAAAACTCATCTTTTACATCATCTGGGCTGCAGTCAGTGGGGGCGTAGGCTGATATGACGAAGAGGCAACGGCGATTGTCCCTATCTTTCCGAGTCCTTACTGTCCCGTTGAGTCGGACGGCGCACAAGCGACTGTCTACATGGATCCATTCAAGGAGAGATTGTTCTGCCCTACGACTCAATACTATACCTATACCAGCGAGAACCCGGGAAGCAGCATCAGAGCTACCGGATACACGAAGGGTAAATCGAGTTGCTTGTTTATCTTGACATAGTGAGGTCAAGTGAATGATTCTACTCGGATCCTGTATGCGCGTTTCTGAGACGCCGAACACATCGATGGCACGAGATTCTAAAGTCCTAGCTAATGATGCCTGTTGCCCTATTTGACACAATGTCCGTACATTAAATGCTCCAACATGTAGTCTAGAGCGGGGTTTAAGGAGACCAGGAACGACGTTTCGCGAACTCGCATCGTCTGCATTAGCTGTGCACTGTGATAAACGAATGTGAGAAGAGTTAGTCATGGAGGTAAGAGAGGTATTAGGGGGTGTTGGAAGGATTTAATTTTGACCAATTTTGTCTCTCGTACTGTTACGGGTATGAGGGCGGTTATCACTCCCCGGCTGCCCACACCGTGGAAGGTTGTTTCTTGAGGGACCTGAAAAGGAAGATAGATTAGTGTTGGTCTTGGAGCGTGACCGCAGAGCCCAAGGGACAACTGCTTGAGACCGGTCACACACGGCCTTTTTATTAAAGGTTTTTTGAGTATTAGCTCCGCTCTTAAAAGCCCTTAGTGGGCGCCCTTACCGACGGAGACGGAAATCCCTTCAGACAGTTGGGCGATTGAAAAAATACGGAAGACTACAGAAAAGTGGTTTGGAATGTGATCCCAAGAATCTGCGGATAACCTCCTGCAAGCTAGAATCGTTAACCACGACTGTTCGATTGGGGGAATTGAAAATGAGAGCAAGTTAGTCTATAGGATAACGAAGATAAATTTTGGTTCTGATGATAGGTGCGTGTGGATAGTTTAACATAAACTTACACAGCCTACATTACACAAACGACTAGACCTAAAATTGTCACTTTTTTCACTTAGGCTATCATATCGTAAAAGGCACTAAATGAGTAGTCGTTTATTTGAATAGAAATAACAGAAAATACAAATTCACTATATACAGTTCACAAAATGTAAGACACCAAGTAAAATCGATAAATAGGTGTGCATCAAGTGAGTGACGGTATTGACGATGATTTGATTTTGTGTCGCACTCGGCGGTTGCGTGATGACAATTTAATAGAAGTGTTCATTGATCTAACAAAAGCAAAAACTAGGATAAATACACAAGACACGCATATGAATGGTGCAATCCAAAATGGAACATATTCTGACAGATTATGATACAATTGTCCAATTCCAATACCCAAACTTTTACATAATGAGACAAATGGTTGATATATTAATTCCAGACATATTTCATAAATATTAGTAGATAGAAGCGGTTCCGACAGCACTTCTTCATAGTAAACCGCGCATTCGTCATGTAATGGACGAGAGGAAAAATAACTAACAAGCAATTTTGTCCAAGTTCGTTGATGTGTAGGTTTACAATCATCAGGAGGACCATTATGTCGAGACAAGACAGACATTTTTCGAGCTAATCGTGCATTATATTTTGTGTAGACTGATTGAGAAAATATAAGTACACATAACCCACATAAAAGTAGCAGGAAAAATATATATCGAGCACGAAGAAAGAGCACCAACAACCAGACGAAGGAAATGACAAAAAGCAATGAAAACATCCAGGAGAATGGTATATTAGTGAACCACTGAGACAAATGTAGATTATTTGAAACCGTAACCGGGCGAATGATTTCTGAAAAAATATTGTTTACTAAATCGGGGGATACACGATTTCCCGAGTCCTCATTTGAATTACAGTACTTGCTTAAAGTATGTATATCTTGCTCTTCCAACACAAATTCCAATTGAACTTTAATTGGGGTTTTTGAGGAAATACTTAGTAGATTTCCTGAGTCAATATTTCGCCACAAAGTTTTGACAAGAACTCTGTGTAGCTCTCGATGATGGTTAGCAGCCAAGAAATCCGACAAATTGGTAGGTTTCAATAAAGTATCCGCGCTTCGCAGTGATGGTGCACTCTGTTCTGGATCCATGAGAACACCCCCAAACATATCATAAGGGTCGACATCAGCTTGAGTTTTTTGCAGCACCAGAATAGAGATAAGCCCAGTTAGCAACAACTAAAAACCAAAACAAATCAGTTATAACCAAAATCTATTTTTCTAGTAAGAACCAATAGTGCAGAAAACTAATATATTTCGTGAAATCAAACTGCATACAAACAACTTGGGATATTTTTATTCTAGGTCTTCTTCGATTTCTCGTGTTAGTGATGAACGACTGGCAATCATCATCTTGTATTTCTACAAATTCAAAAACAAAGTATTTTAAATTTGCATTTTACTGAAAAAGGTTACTAAACACTATACAAACAACAATCAATAATTCACTTCAGTAACAAAATGTGTAAAATAGAAAAACGATAAGTTCACGAACAAACATTTTTCCAAACTGACTATCAATAAAGTTGTGTAAGGTTTATTCAGCTTATTAACCATATCGAACATAGCCATCTCGCTCCTAATTAAAATGAACCGACGACTTTATTACCCTATTCATCAATAGATAAGCTATCTAAAGCTCAAGCATCACAATGACATGTAGGTAAACAACGAATACTGGCGACTTATGTACGGATAATGCGGTAACCTTAGTTGATAGGAATATATAACCTTCGTTTTGATTGTTAGGGTATCAAAACTGCAATCCACTTGACTTTTCTTACGAATAAATTAGCTGATTCACTAGCGCAAACGAATTAGGTAGAATTACATGGTCAATTTATTCGTTGTTCTCTGTAGTGATTTTTCATAACTGAATTAAAATCAATAGTGGACTTATATAGTTGCTGAAACTCTGAGAAATTTTTAAACGATTAGTTGCCATTTTAAGCTTGGGATAACAAAAGAGTAGAAATCAAACTGCTTAAATTACATCAAAATGGAAGTACAATTCGTTAAGTTATTTCAAAGGCACGGGCCTGTAAGTTAAGGAAAGGGACAGAAGTAAGGGTAACTATGTTTAGGTTTGTCAACAGCATTATGCTGAAAAGAGAACTAGACGTGACAGTATTGTGCATATTACCAGGCGTCTCCGCATAATCATCTTGTATGGTGGATAAAGTGAATGTTGATAGAAATGAAGTCAATGCGTAGAGTAACAGACGCTTATTAACGTCATAGGAGTCTTTGGATAGTGTATCATTGAGTGCTCTATCGTAGGGTACATAATACTAATAATGGGTACTTAATCGGATGTCAGGAAACAGCTCTCTTTATCATCGCTTAAATGTTATTCATAATTTATAATCTGGCCACTTGTCTGTATCAAATACGTTTGCTAGGACAAAGAAGTATCACATCAGAATAAAAACGAATAGATGTTGCATTTCGGTATTAGGAAACAGGACCAGATGAGCTGACGCACCCTGAACAACAACGATCTTGGAGAAACTGAAACAGGTCAACCTTTGTCACGTGACTGTAGTGAGTGTTTCATAAATAAGTGAGGAGCTATTCAACTCATGCAAAATAGGAAATAATTTGAATGACGGAAAACTGAACAAAAACCGACAGGCCACTTACGGACTGCACTGAAGGAAGGATCTCAATAAGCCTCAGAAATACAGTTGGGCTAAGTGACTGTTGGAGAACCTGTACTAGGTGATTGGGTTGATTGCAAACCGCAACAGCAATAGCGAAGTGGTTGACACCCTCATCTAAAAATCCCATACTCAGAGCAGCCTCTCCTTTTTGTATTTGCTCTAGGAAAAACTTTTGCATGGCAGCCTGATCATTTACAGGGGGTAACGGGAAGGAGGATGAATTCTGAGCCTCAAGAGCCTTTTGTTCCATTCTCTCTATTTCAGTATACCATAAGCTTAACTGGACTCACTTTTTTTCAGGTTTTTCCAAAAATCCGGATGACTGCGTCTTTTCTTGTCAAAATAAATGCAGTAGCCTACAAAAATAATCCCAGCCCCTACGGCGACATAAGGAAAAACCCCACGCGCCATTACACTTATACTACGAGCCGTATAGTAAACACGAAACCAAGCGCCAATATGTCCAATATACAATAATCAAATGATTCTAATAGTTGTAGTGGAGTTAGAGATACTCTCGCTTAATGGGGTTCTGCATCTAATCGAAATGGATCAACGGTGCCTTTAGGAAGGAACTTTGATATCTTCAGCGAGTAAAAGAGAAATACTAGTAAATTAAAATGAAATATTTTCCTGAGTCTTTAAAAAAATGAAAAGCTTTCTTTTTCGAAGGACTCCTGGGAAGTAGCTCTTAACACCTCGTTCAGTAACGAATCCTAGAGTGTGACCGCTCGAAATGAGTAGAAGGTATGCTTGCAGGCCATTTTACTATTAATGTGCCATCTAAGGTCTGAGTTCAGACTGAACTAACTATTTTAAGGGATGCTTAGGAATGTTTAGAATGCATCATCAGGTCACTTTTGAGGTGCTGGCACTCTAAGGGGTAAAGACCCAGAGACTTCATATGTTGTTCGAATGAACTAGTGACTTCTTATTGTTGTAGAATGCTTGATTTAGAATTCTAAATACAGTACATTCGTTCGTGCTCATCTCATAGTTCTTGATCCACTTACGTTGTTTCTTGGATTATTAGTTAATACAACAATTCAAATACTTCTAATTATCATATTGGCATCGCTCTTTATTAGGTGTGAACCTAAGTCCTAGAACTGATTTTCTGGGTTGCCTTTAGATACGTTCCATGATATTCTCGTCCTTTTGGAGGAAGGGGAGAAACTATATTTTCATACTCCTAATGAGATCAAGTATAAGTTCTAAAGAGTAGGAGGAATGTTCTATCATAAAAATAACTAAAAAAGCGACTTAACTTTATAAGTTTAAAGTCTGCTCGGAAAGCAGTTTTATCATCATTAGAGTAAAACTTAAGATCATAGTATAGTAAAGGTAGCCAAACACCTAACAGTTAGAGCTTATGGATGAGAAATATGTGACTGACCGTACTAAAAACATTGGAGAAGTCAAGATATAGTATAACGACCTCTTTACGATCGATCATGGCTGTCCGTCTATCCATCTCAGTCAGCTGATTAATCATACAAAGGGTGATTGATCCTGTAATTATGGTGCTGGGATGAAAAGTTTACGGATAATAAACAGTTTTTCGACTATCATGTAACAAGAACTCCATAACAGTTGGAAGTATTGAAAGGACTGCTACCAGCCGGTAGCTTGAAAGTTGTGGCTGTGTCGAACTCGAAGTAGGGCTCACCACTACAGTAGCTCGGAATGTATGAAGAATCAGATATGCTATGTAGTAAGCCACCTCTTTAGTTTCCAGTTGTCAAACTCAGGCGAAACTCATTCATGTGATTGCAGTAATATAAAGCTGGATACGGATTCGATTGGATGAATTTATGTCCGTCAATAGTTCGTGCAGACATGAGAAAGAAAAGCGTACAAGCAAAGTGAAGCAAAGTGGAGAAGGCGAGCTAGCCAACTCAGTGGGATAAAGCAAAACTATGTATTCATAATAAGGCCTAAAATAAGCCATATATGAAGTAAGCAAAGTCAGCGGCACACACTGAAACTGAAACAATGGGGATATGAGCGAATGATCGACAAGGTCAAAAGAAGAGTGAACAATGACTCACGAAGGCGAGAACAAAGGCGGGGGGCTGAACATTTCAGTATACATACTACACAGTTAATTAGTGAGATGTGCGCCAGCTTCTAACTATTTGAGACCTTGCCTTCACATAGCGAATGTGAGGAAATCACACTAATAGTGTTGCCAAGTCTGAAGTCAGTTCTTCAATTATAGTAGAGTGAACCGGTTCCAGGCTTGGAAGTGTCCTTGTTTAAGTGCTGCAGTTTTCGCTGGAACTGCTTCACTTTCGAAATCCTTCTCAGGTTGCAGGTGAATCTCTTATTATTGCAGATCGTGTGAGACGGTTAACATGTTTCAAACTATTCCACCGGAAGCCCTGCAGCATCACCGTGACTGTTGGTTGAGCCATTAGGATCTATGCAAAAAGAATATTCGGCTTTGTTTGTCAAAGAAAGTCTGTATAACGGATTAAACTCTTCAAATTTCTTGATTAGCCTGAACTAATATTGAAGCATATCTTCTCTTAGTGCCTTTGTTCATTGGTCCCTTGTTAGCTGAAACACTATATATTCTTTCGTTTATTCAAATCCTAGTTTATTTACGTTCCGCCTAGATGGCTGGGCAATCGCAGGATTGGGCTGTATAACCCGTCCGTTGACTGATTTCTTTCCATATCTGGGCTTCTTTAAAACTAATCCTTGGTTGTTTTCGACTTCGGACAGAAACCCGTTTATCTGAAGTTTAAGGGGATATAAGTTTGCTGTGAGAGTTCAGCTACACTGATGTTATAAGGGTGTAGAACTTCAGCATGTCCTCTTTATAGTTCGTGCTTATTTTATCCATAACGACATTACTGAATCAAGCGTTTTGCCTCATAATGCGATTTCATTTGCCCCTCCATTACTGGGATACTTGTTTTTCGTGTATATGAAAAGTTTTTCGGGAAATATTTTCGAAGACTAATCACGTTGCTCAGCATATCATCTCCATTTAGATGACTTAACAAGTCTGTTAAACACATTTACTGTATGTTTCGTGGAACCATTCTTTGTATTTATCACACTCCATACATGAGGTGACGGAAACACAGCAGCCACGTCGCTTGAGTAAGAAAAATCTTTCGAAATGGATAAAAGCGAGTAGTATAAACACTCAAAGTACTCTAAGGATAGACAAAACATGAAAGCCCTGAAGACCGAATAGCAACCGGAGGTGAAACCACAGATTAATTTTAATTATAATAAAACTCAAAATGAAAATCTACCAAACGAAAACGTCAGAATAGATACTTCCAATCGAAGACTGTTTTCGTAGCTCAAGAACACAGCAAAAGTTTGAGAAATGTAAATCACTTCAACATAGTACTTCACGCCCGTGAAGAGATTTGAGGGTTTTCATCATTATTCAGCATCAGCTAAAGTGCCAAATATCCAAGACTTGCTATCTCAAACTATATTCTCATCATTAGCCCTAGGGCGATTTGATGGCACTTATTTTTGATCCAAGTCACACTGACCCTTTCGGGTTAATGATGCTACTACTGAAAAATTATTTAGGTTGTATTTGTAATTCACGCCATACAGAAGGTAGACTTTTCACAACTAGCATGACGAAAGTCTAGTCGCTTGTCTACTGGCTTGCTTTAAAGTCAGATTAAGTCCCTCGAAAATCCCATACTGTCACTAATGTTGGAAACTTTTGTGTGTGCGTTTTGAATTAATAGAAATCGATACTGCTAATTCTCGAAGTTCAAGTGATACCTAAAATAAAAATGTCTTGACATAGTGGTATTTCAAGATTATAACTATATATGAAACTATCGGATACATTTTTGACCCACATTTACAGCTAACTTACTAGAGAAAGAAGCATGTTTGTCACAAGTACCAACATAACACAAAAGACAGAAGACATGTCCAAATAGCTTAAAATTTTGAATACCATTATACCACAGTTAAGTGTATTTCATGCAAATAAAACAACTTTCACCGCCGAAAAGGATTTTCAAATATCTACATAGGTTTATGATCAGATAGGTGGTCAAACGGTATGAAGAATTGCATAATTTGTACGTAACTAATTAAAATACTACAGTAATTTAAAGAATCTCCAGTAACAATAGACAGTGATCGATACAGTTATTCATTGGACAGCTCATAGAAGAAGAGTGTTCATTTGTGCCATTAGTATTTTCTGCAAAAGTTGATCACAAAGTTAACTAAGACAGACCTGTTTATGCGGTAGTTCCATATTTTATTATCCATTCGTAATGTTGAGAGAGAAATATGTTTGGTTCTGAGCTTATAATTCAGATCAGATTACACAACATGAGGATTTCGATAACTAAATTCTAATTAAATCTCAATGTCATTACAATCAAAGAGATAGGTTTAATTCACAGGTAAAGCAATTATTAATCGGAAATTATGTCACATTAAGAAAAAATGACTACCCTAACTTGTGTTGAGTTCTGAAAATGATAATTGATTAAAAAAAGATACATTTAGCTGATAATAATATATTTGTTATGATTCATATGAAAGGCATCATTTTGGAAAATTATATAATCCTAGAAGACAAAGTAATGTTCCTTTTTGTCTTTTATTCTTCCTCATCCTCTCCAAGTAGTCCTAATGATCGTAAGAAATTATGTTCTTCTGACAGGTATTTTTCGTATTCCAACTAGAATGTTCATAAGAAAGACAAGGAAGAAATGTATGTTTAACCAACTAATCACTTATAAAAAATTTCTAAAATCTGTATGAGTATATCTTGAACTTAAGGTTATTAAGTAAGGCTGAAACTTCCTCAGTTGATGTAGTTGGGACATGTGCTACGTATGTTCATCCATCGACTGCCTTGAAGAGCGATGTTTTGTGACGTAAGAGTAGGCTGGAAGAAAACTAGGGGGAAACCAAAACAGGACACAAATCCAAGTTAGTAGATGTAGAGTACCAGGTTGGGATCAGCGAGATGATGGTAACCGATGGTTAGAGACTTTAAATGTCTAATTGATAGGTTTGTAAATACCGACCCAAGTCATTATTATTATTACTATTATTATTTTTATCACAAACTAACTTGTGAAAAAATGAACAAATTATGAGGTAACCCCCCCCATTCTTTCCCTGGTCGGATATGACTTAATAAACGTTTTAAAAAAATAGATAAATGGATAAATAATTTTGTTTTTTCTTTTTTATTTTCGTTATTATTAACATTATTTTCAGATCCTGTGTTTGTTTGTAATTTTCTACCTTTTTCCATTTATATTCTTCACTATCTAATTATGTACACACTTCTTATTACGTAATGGTTTTGATGTTTTGTAGTGATTAGTCTAAGTCTATTTATCCACGTTTATCTTACCAGTATCTGTACCCCTGTCTCCCTATCATCAACTTGTACTTCTACCTATTATGTGTAGTGACGTAATCTATTTTATTGTGATTGTTGACTCAAATTGCCTTTATTGGTTTAATATTTTCATATAAATATTCATGTATATTCGAGTAAAGCCTGATGACGGTCTAGTTGAAAACAATATTGTTCGCTCATATGTGTTGCTCTAAATTATGAGATAACACAAACAATTATTTCCTTTTAGCTTGAGACTTCGCAAAAATGAGACCCCAAAAATCTCACTAAATAAGGTAGCCAAGACCTCTAAGTCTTCCAATAACCATGTAACATTTAGACCACAGAGTTGTGACTACATACTCTTGGCTATACCAGGTCTTGGTTTCGAGCTTTGCTGAAGCCGTATGTGTGCACTTCTGAAGAGTGTGATACTGAAACAGAACTGATATCCAATAATCGCTAGTTTTCAAAAGTTATACAGATGATTAAAAGCTATTTAATAAGAGTATTTGTAACAATTTTATTAACTGTCTTTTTAAACGTTTAGATTTTTGATTTCGTCGGTTATCTTCATATTATTTTCTTTCAAAAATCATCGCTCTTTGTTACCGGGTTTTTCCACTCATTGAAAAATCCTATTTTATTAATCTGAATGACTATGAATATACTTAATGACATTTTGAGAATATGCACGGGGAACGATATTCAAAGTACTGTTTTCAAGCAAATCTATGTATTAGAAATACTCGGTAAATACCTTCTCAAACGGAAAAATCCTATCTTATAATATTTCATCTTCATTTTCAAGTTAGTTCATTTCAATAGCTATTAAAACACTAAAGATTTTGTTAAACCTGCCCCAAAATTATATAATGGATCATTTCCTGATTTTTATTCGGTAATACAGTGCCCATGAACTTGGCATTTCTACCTGAACTTCTTAGCACAATTTCAGCACTAACTAATCCATTTTTCACCGTACCCGACCAATGCCTTGAAGAAATCCCCGGTCAAATACTTACGACCTCTCAGCGTTTTGACCAACATAGGCTGTTTGATAGCCTTAGAAAAATATGGGGTGAACTATTGGTTAGTATATTCGACTTCTGATAGACAAGAAAACATTTTATTAGCTCCTCAAATAGTGTATGCTGACATTTTGTCTGTCGCTGAACTTCTCCATCTAGAAACATACTACTATTGATGAAACCTTCAGGATTAAAAACGTGGCCAAAAAACTTCACTATTAGACCCCTCATATCTAAATCACATGTCAAATTATAGGTGTTACAATTTAAAATCCTCTAAATATTTGTTTCAGATTTTAAATTATTGTAACTAAAATTTGACATAGTTATTACCCAGTAGTTGTATTTTTAACTTACTTTCTCTTTCTGAATGGTTTCTTCTTCACTTAACACAACATCCGGTGCTAAACCAGCCTTTCTTTTCTTTTCCACTTCTTGTTCAATTTTCTCTTGTTCTCTTAAATTCCAGCGCATTGAAACAAATTCTTTTCTTTTCACTTCACGTTCAACATATTCATTGAATTTTTTTAGTTCTGATGGTAAAGGATTTTTCAAACGTCTAGGTATCTATAATTATTATAGTATATATATTTATAACCTATTTAATGTTAATGGTAATCTTTTCATTCAACACGACATCTTTGGTAGAGTAGGGAATTGTCAGCATAAAATATTTCAGTTTCATTTGCATTCTACAGAGTTGTGGAGATCGTTGATTTTAATTAAAATCATGCACTGATAAATTTTAGACCACCATTGAATACATGAAAGCATTGGGAAACCGTTTCGTCCTAGTATGGAACTCATCGTCAGTGCGCATTCACCGCCCCCTGGAAGGTGACGGAATCGAAAATCGTCGGCCTCACACACGAATGCTTTACCTCTTGATCGTTGAGTCAACATCCAACGGTGTTTATGTCTAAGGTGAATCAATCGACAAAATTTTGTAACCATCAACCATCATCTTCGATGAGTAACTGCTTCATACCCAACACGCTTAAACTCCACTGGCTACGGTTTCTCACTAGAAATCCGAGAATTTCCTCCCAAAGCTAGTCACTAGTGAATGCATGATAATTCTCATTATAGGGTTGTAAAGATTGATAAGTTTTATTACTCGCGGTGTTATGGATGCACACTGCTGACGCGATCCATACTAGGAAGAAACGGTCACTTAGCGCTTTCAGGTATTCAAAGATGATCTAACATTGATAAGTGTATAAGTGTTTCTAGGACAAGTAATAGCATTGTATCCATTCATTGAAACAGAAATTCTAGCTCCATGTGAACGTACCCTAGTAGCTATTAATGAACCACAGCATAAATAGTGGATAAGACTGAAGAAGTCAATATATTGTGTTGAAATACACGAATTAAGAGCGTATTTATACACAAAGAATTTAAGATTCAATAAGAACCTTGAAGTATCGCCTCATACTGAGGTTTTATGTTAGCTCCCTTTCCATAATGTTATATAACACAATATCTTTGCGAAATAGTATTTTGTAAAGCCTTCATATTTTGCTTTTCAGCCACGAAACAGAATCAAAGCAGAAAGGTAATTTGGATAAGTCCATTGAATATAATTAATATCTTCCCCTAAAATAAACGATCTATTATTATTCAAGACAGCTGTAACATTCGCAGTACTGTTAACATGTTTGTATCTAAACTGAAATGGAGGTCGAGAGTTTATTTCTATGTCTACGTTTAACATTTATACTACCAAACACATTCTTCGGTATTAGACTTAATTTAATCTTATCCCTATATAGTTCTGATATACAATTCGTCTAAAAATGCTTCTCAGCGAAAGATAACAAAACATAACATGAATGCGTTTAATGAAGAGAAAATTCTTAGGCACTATAACTGTCAAGACACATCTCATTCTGCCCTTTAGTAGAAACATGACAGCAATTCAGAAAGTTCTTAACTATGAGTTGAAGTTGTAGAAACAGGTGAAAACTTTATGAGTTGAGTATTTAGTGTAATATATTTCAGTGATTGGAGGCATGTTAGGTAATAACATGTGAAGTGAAATGTACTCTTCTAGATTTCCTGTAAATTTCACTGTTTGTCATTTATTCTTTATGCTAAAACAATAGTATGTTACTGTCTCATTTCAATTTCTTATTTATCATATAAATTATTGTTTTATTTACGTAAATTAGTTCTCTAATATGTGTTGATTTCACAATCAACTATCGAGTAGCTCATAAGTCTAACTACTGAAACAGTTTATTTGTAGGGATAAGCAGTGATCTATGATTTTTTTTTCAGTGTTTATTATCAATACGACTAGATGCTAATCTAAGGTTGAAACTTATAATTTTTCTGCAAAACTGATCGCTTATTGTTTAATGTCAGCATTCTTGTATAACTCTGTGACTGGAATCATCTAGTGGCAAGAAAAGTGAGCAGACGTATTCATTTACTTCCTATTTACCATATATATAATCTCGAACTTATCTGAAATGCTTTTCCAACTATGATACATCTCTTGTAGTTCATTTCATAACTTTATAACTTCTATAGGTCTGTTTTGTATCTGTTGTTGAGATGGTTGACATTTTAAGTCATTAAGATTTTATCATGCATTCGACATTTTTTACTCACAATAACTTACAATAAATAATTGCAGAACTCCTTGGATATCACCAGTAGCTAAAAATTGACGTTTAGTTGAATCCCATATCGATAAAGTAGTAAGTGCATTAGCAGATATTGACTGAATCATTGTTGGTTCATAAGTTTTATCAAGTAAATCCCAAACTTCGACACTGCCATCCACACGACATGTATAAAAAACTGACGGACGTGTTGGAGACCAACTTCCACCTTGAATGAAAAGCATCAATAAATAACATTAGCAATAGTTTTTTTTTTTCAAATTTTAATGAAATGAATCATTTTAATGATATTAATATACTAATTCAATAAAAGTTAACAATTTTTAAATGAATGACTATATCAATGGAAAAAATTTCTATACCTCTTGCATATCAGCTGGTTCCATGAACCGAAGTTAAAAATATAAACTAGTTAATCTGTATTCAGCTGAATGAAGTTGCTTCTGTGAGCTGGGTGTACCAACTGAGTTAATATGTTTGTTCATATATATCGTAATATATTATTTAAAAGCTTCAATAATTTCATAAAATCAAATTCATTTAACAAGCCGACAAAGGTAAAAAGTAATCAGATAATAAATTTGTGAGACAATATCTTAAATACTGTAGATTAGTATAAATATGAATTTACTAAACATTATCTAATTGTTTAGTCATTCCTTGCATCTAAAAATAATAATATTTATCTAATTAGTTTGTATGTTTTGATCATTGATATTTTAAATTGCATTTATGAGTTGCTTTTGATAAATCCGTCTCTGAAACAAACGAGTGCATTTATCTGTAATTTACTAGTAATTTGGATAATGGATAACTGTACAAACTATGTACCTTATATCATCCCATTTAAGACATGCTACTAAAATATGTATCTGTCTGTCTTAATATTGTCACGCAAACTCAAAATTAAAGTTAATAGCTAGAAAAACATTACAAGTTATCTTTTAGATCATTTTGTCATAATGGTCGACATGTCTGATGAATTATTACCTGGAGTTTTTGAAGTTGATATTATTTTCAATATAAATCTTGTAGGTTGGTTTGCAAGGCCCGAATAGCAGACAACTTATTTTCTGAATTCCACTGTTAGTCACCATTCCCCAAACAATGTCCTACGATAATTATTCTTAACCATACTTTCAGTGAAGCACTATTTTTTACAAGAACTTATTTGGAACAAACATCGCAAAAATAAGAATTTCATTAAAAAATTACCATTTATCAGAGACAGTTTGAGCTGACACTTATGTCTAGATTTTTATTATTGATCGATATGATCTGACAAAATCAACAGTCAGAATACATTAGTCAGATAAATGTCATAATGTTACTAGTTCTCGGCGAACAAGAACCAGTGATTTCATACACACTTTAAAGTTGAATTGTTCACCTCACTTATAAAATTAATTTTATTGTTGATGATAATGCTAAGCAAAAGAACATGAAATTCAGTAAAAGAATCTGTCGACAGCTGAATATGTGAACCACTGAAAATTAATTATTTTGTTATCTACTTTGTACAGAGTTTACTGTTATAAGCTGAAAGACGATATTCAAGTAACTATATGAGGGAGAAGTTGGTCATACTTATAGTTGTTATTAGTAACAATAACAGAGGAGACAGTTTCCCCTTTTTATCAACAATCAGCGTTATGTTGTAACAATAACCCTAATTAAATTATAAGTATACGTACCTGTTAGTGGTTTATTTGCACGACCAGATTCTATGATCGGTCCACTGGTAACTCCCTCCTTCCACATTGTCCATATCCATCCACCAATAGCTAAGATCAGAGAGGAATTAAATGGTGAACGACTAAGGTAACTGATTGGACCGTCATGTCGTGAGATACAGAATTCTGGTTTGGGTGTTTGCATTTTCCCAGTGTCTTGATCTTTCTGTGGAACCCAGTCAGCATAGACTATATCACCATCTTCTGTTCCAGCAAAAATATGTGTGTTTGCATTTGGAAGTGGAAGCAATTTAGATGAATTGTCAGAATTTTTGATATTGGAATCTTTTGTGCTAGGCGTCAGTAACTTGCGACTCCTCTGCATTTCCTTTTAATAAGAAATCAACACATATTAGGTCTTTGAAAGTCTTCATCAGTATGTACATTACAATGAAGTTGATAAAATCAGCTGTAATTTCTAACAATCAGAACTGTGTAACGAATAATATAAATTGACATATAGTAACTGACATACCGTAATAAGAAGAGGAATGAAGAACATAAAGTTCACGAACTTCACTAAGTACATATGTTAAAAAAGCATACTTAATGGGGAAGCTTTGAAAGGTGTGGAAATATTTACATATCTGGGCAGAACCATTGATAAACAGGTGGATCTGATACGGGTGTAAAGATAGGTAGTGTAAAAACAAGGGCAACATTTTTAAAATTGAAGGAAATCTGGAAATCAAAACAACGCTCAACCAACACCAAAGTCACAATTTTCAATACGAACGTCAAGGCAGTTCTACTGTATGGGGCAAAAACTTGGAGAACCTGGAAAGCTATAATCCGGAAAATACAAGTCTTTATTAACAGTTGTCTACGAAAGATACTGCAGATGCGTTGACCAGACACTATCAGCAACAACCTACTGCGGCAGGGAACAAACGAGATCCCAGCTGAGGAAGAAACTAAAAAAAACGCTGGAGGTGGGCTGAACACACACTGAAAAAAGCACCCAACTACGTCACAAGACATGCCTCCACTTGTATCCTCAAAACCAAAAGAAAAGATGAGGATCAAGGAACACACTATGACGAGAATCGGATTTGGAAGTGAAAAGAATAAATAGCGATCAGGAACAAGTGAAAACGAGAGCAGAGGATGGGGTTGGTTTGAGAATGCTGGTTGACGGACTATATTTAGTTACGGGTAACAGGTAAAACTAAGTAATTACTTATATTTTAAAAGATATTTAAGGGCATATATTTAATTTAAATACCAGGAACTAAAATTACTTATTGAATGGTTAGTTAATTTAAACGTAAACCATCAATTCGAAAAGTTCGAGATATCATTCCTAAGGTAAAATCAAGTATTAAAGTAAGAGCTATTCAGTGATCAGGAAAGCATATATAATTTATGTTAAATAGTTCTTATGTACACAAGAAGCTTGATGATAAGGTCAATTAAGTATCATTGAATTTGTTTGGATAAATAAACAGAAATAAACTGAGTAATAGACCAGAGAAATGGGACTATCTCATAAGGTTATTGAAACATATGTTTCGAATCAGTGATAGAATTAATCATTGCAATCGACTAATTGATCTAGTTGCATCAAAACAAATGTAAAATATTCATTCCTGAGTCCATCCGTTTGTCTGTGTAATAAACCCATTAAAAATAAATGAAAATTTCTTCTTGGCTAGTACCGTTCTCTAACGAAGTTTCGTCAGAAGGTTGTACAACTTAGGAGTACCTTACATCAAAACAGACTCTAGAAGGATAACCACTGAAATTACAAGGACAATAGATAGCTACTTTGTCGCATGTCAGAGTTTTTCAATAGCGCCCACCAAAATCTTTTTTTTACTCTGCACGTTTTTAGAGGTGACTAATTTCTGAATGAACTTCCCGAATCCTTAATAAGAAATCATGAAATGTAAATTCAATAAAGCTCGGAGTGAAACAGGAACTACCGATACCATTGGATCGCGTTTTTATCACAAAAATACTGACATAGAAAACAAGCTGATAACTCCCAATTCATTAGCTCGTTGATATCGTGTTTCGAAAATCCTGAACTCAAGACTAAACACGATTATGTGTGTTTAGTGTCACCTACTCACAAAATAGGACAAAGCAGTTGTTTGGTATTCAGAAATCTCCCGTTCCTAATTCCAGTCCATGGAGAGTGATGTATATCACAATATAGGATTTCGTATGCTAATGTATTCTAAATTTTCCAAATTAAGAATTACCAAAATGAAATGATAAAAAGTCAATAAAGGTTCATTCACTAGTTTTCGAGGTAAGCATGTTATATTTGATCATACATTACAATTTATCTGTGGGGAATATTTTTCGGTAAACGTGAATCTAAAATGTATGTCTCCGTTCAATTGATCATAAACAATGCTGAACCTAGTACATATAAGCATCAGTCCAAGATGTCTGACTATGTCAGCAGAATGTGACAAAATGATCAGGATGAGCAATGGATTATTGAAAGTAGTAGTAATGTTAACGATGAGAAAAAAACGATTACACATCAAAATATGGTTGAGAAAAAAATTTATTCTCATAGTAAAAGACATAAAGTACTTGTTAAATCAGCTTATAAGTGGTAGGATAAGGACTAAATGAGTTTTTTTTATGCGACTGCCTATGATCCATATAGTTATTATCCAACGTCACCAACCATCGACCGTCGTGATCAAGAGAATAACAACTAGGCATTAAGTAAAGATATGAATAACTTGAGAATACTACATAACTAACAATAAATAAGATTAAAATAAAGAGATATGCAACTTACACGTATACAAAATTTAACTAATGCATGATTATTATCTGGATTATTTATATACAAATAAACTCTTAGTAATGGTTTCCATTTCAAATTTAACGGTAAAAATGTTACTGGTACACTCATTGGTGGTTTAATTGAATCCACTGTTTTATTTACAGCTAATGGGGATTTCTCCGGTCGTATATCCCATAATAGTATTTCACCATTTAAACCACACGTCATTAATTGAACACATTTTTGTGTTAAATTTTCAAAACAGTATCCTAAACGATTAATTTCTAAATGATCTGGTATCCATTTCAAATCCATAATTGGTGAAGTATGTGATGATTCAATATTACTTAAAGCAGAATAATCTGATGTTGAAACTCTATTTAATTCATTCTCATCAAACACAAATAAAGGCATTTGACTGTTTTGTTTTAATCGTAATTTAACATTTTTTAAATCTTCCATATGCTTTTCAATATCCCATAAAACTACTTGTCCATTGATACAACCACCAGCTATATAATTTGAAGTAGTTGGATTAAACTGGAAACACGTAAGATCATCAGGTGCATTCAATAATAATTGAGGTTTTAGCGGATCACTAATACTCCATAGTATAATATGTGTTGGTTGTAAAAGGATGCGTGATGCTTGATCAATACGTTGATCATAAATAACCCGTTCACTAATCGATGTCGCAATAATACTTTTAATAGTAGGATGCCATTGAATCATTGTAATAGCTTTATTTTTACTATATTTCAAATCGGTAAATGATAGAAATTCTTTAAATGTATTATCACTTCTTGTATCATAATTTTCATCACCAATGGATAAATCTTCATAATCAGTTGATAAAAAATTGTACATTTCATTTTCTAATAAGCCTTGTTCAAGTATTGTGTATAATTTCGATATATTACGCAACGCATCATTATTTTCATGATAATATTGTTGCAATTCATCAGATGTGAACATTCTAGGAGCATACTGAGTAAATGCATTTCTTGGATATTTCCAAATTGTATTATTACCTTTATCACAGGTCATTTCACAATTTGTAGTAGATTTGTCTAACTCTATTATAGGTATACTAAATGACTGATCTTCATGTGATAAAATACATTCAGAAAAACCTTTTGTTGTAGCATTTTCATCCTGTAAATTTAATGGACTACCAAAATCTTTGCGTGGTCTTTGAAAAATGGTACATAATTTTGAACGTGTTTCGTAAGCATTCATTTCCCTTACTTCATTTTCTGAACCTAAATCAGTCCAACCATGTTCTGACTTCGATTTAAATGAAGAATGTAAATCAGTGACATCTTCTTTTAGTTTATCCTCATCGTCATCTGTATCATCATCCACATCACCATCATGTTCCAACGGACTTTCACTTGTTTGTTGAACTGGATTTAGTATAAGAGATTTTGTTTCTTCAGATAAGACAATCACAAAATTCTGACCGAATTTATAATCTGCATCGTAAATTAATAGAATATCAGAGCCGGGATAATTGTTGATTGCAACTTTCTGTACACTGAAATCTGATACAGCTGCACGTGATTGTAAATCTTTAAGTATATCCGATTTGTTCAGTAAAACAATTGGTGATTCTTTGGTAATTTGTTCATCAGTTACAATATTAAATATTTGTTGTGTTGGCTTTGATAAAAATATCGGTGTGCAACTGGGCATTAGTTCATTTTGACTGAATATATCTAATGGTTTACGAGTTTCTTTCGGTGATGCAGTTGGTGATGCTTCTGGTGCATCAGAATGTTCGGTAGTAACTTTATTCATCGATTTCTTGGGTGATGATTTTGATTTACGTCCACTCCGACTTTTAGAACCACCTTCATCACCCTAGTTTATCAAGTTTTTAATTAAGTTGTTTTGTAAAAGAAAAAACTAATTAACTAACCTTATTGCTTTGACTGCTTTTGACTCGAGTTGCTTTTGCGCTTCCTTTTTTCATGATTAATAATTTATTTCAAGTTCTAAATTTAAGAAGACATTGATGCTTTAGATAATTTAAGTGAAATGTGCACATGAGACAGAAACAATGTACAATTTGATAAATCATAGTATAGTAAACATAATAACTTTGTTCCACCCAATCGTAATTCGACCAACAATAAGCATTAAATGGGTCTGTGTTTTATGATGTGTACCGTCTAGGAATTATTTTTGCGCACATACAATACCATTCACGGCTTCCCCAATCTTTTTTATAGCATATGTCAATAAGCGCTCGAATTAAACAAATAACTCTATTTGTTTTGAGGTTCCAGAAAAGTTCGGTACTTTATGAAAAAAAGGGCAAAAGATACCTTAAGGGCATATTTCCGAATTTAAGGAAGCATTCAGATTAAGACGCACTCCATTCCGCGGTCAACAATGTTCGACTAATACAAAACTCTCTATTGATTAATGCCGGCAGAATTGCGAAAACTCCTCCAATTTAAAGACTCATGTGAATTATATGGGTGCATATTAGTAATAGTTGAAAACAGTCAGATACATGACCTCAATGTTTACTTTTAATGTAACAGAAACACCACATAAATTTTGTTCAACCTTGCTTCCTTAACCTCATGTCCGTCCGCTACTCGAGCGCAAACAATCCTTCAATCAAATGTAATCCTATAGAATCAAATAAACGAACAACCTGTTGTTTAGACTAGTTCGTAATGTTTTGGATCATCCAGCTGTTAATATTTTCGACTGAAATTTAATTAACCTTGGTTGTAATTTCACCGACGGAACAATTCAAAGCACTTTAAATTGAATGAAATCTTATAGCTGTTGCATAAGTCAGTGTCTATCTGGACTTGGCAACTAAGTGAATAACAGGATAAGGTTTGGTGCAAAGGGCACTGAGTCATGAAGTGAACACCCGACTTTCGGATGCAGGCACATCCAGGAAGGAAGAAACGAGTATCCTGGATTTCACTGCTACCTAGATTCCATTGATTCTATATCACAGGGTATTCCTTTTATTATTCACTTCCTCATAGTCAACTATGATTTCACCACTTGTTGAATATCATTTATCAAAAAAATACTCATGAATACGGTAGGCTTAGAAGCCAGTAATTTGTACTTGTACTATCACTAATCCTACTTACGCATATCGGGATAGGAATCTCAGGGGCATCTAATGTCTTCCTGCTTCTCAAAATCTATTTCACCTCAGGTGAAGATCAAATTAAATAGTTCTGCATGTATCGTATTCACCAGTGAACACTTCAGTCTAAAATAATTCTCATACTTCATTGTTTTCCACATACGATATTTAGTGAATTTCCGTTCAATAAAATGGAATTAATTTTAATAAGGATGAACGACCCAGTTGTCTTGAGATACTTACTCCCCTGTAAAATCTCAAGAGACTACAATAGCATAGTAAAATTGATCATTTTAACTATCAAGTTCATTTGAGAGCCTTACCTATTGAAGTCAGCAATCTAGGCGCCAGGTTGACTATTGAGTAGACTATCAACATCATACAATATTCTGAGGTCGGGGCGGTATATAATGTTTTGCTGAATGCTAAATCTTCTTGGGCCTAAAAATTTCTAATAGTTTTCTAGTGGATACCGACACTTATCTATAGAGCTTAAATGTTTCTAACGAACCCAATAAAATATTAAGGTACAACCCGTATCAGTAAAGGCTCAGTTTATACTTTTCACTTTAACTCACCTCTTAAATTTCCTAGACGGGCCTGTCCTAGATGATCATGCTGAAACTCCTATAGTTACCGGATAAATGCCTAAAAAACGAGCAGTCAGTAATTCCAGTTATTTCAAAAGGTCAAACAACCATATGTTTGCTGTTAAACCATTCATGTTATATAATTAACTTGCTGTTTGTCATAGCTGTTCTCTCGACATTTTTAATACCAGCTAATTTACTTATTACTATTCTTATCATGCCAAGTGTTCATAAAAATGATTTAGATTAACCTAGTTTCTAAAAATGTGATATAAAAATTCGGTTATGCTAAACCCTAAGAATGATTTAGTAGTCCTCGTTTGCAAAGTTATTTAAATATTCGTATTAAAATACGTCAAATAGATGATTCTTAATAATAGAAAAACGTTTAGTTCACCTAAACATTAGTAACGTGAAATTAGGTTTTTTGGAGCAGAGTTTTGTAGGTTTGTGGTTTTACACATTCAAAATCATCAGTCAATCATTGTTAGACCATCATTAGAAACCTGGAAGCACTTGACGGCCGTTTCGTCCTGGTATGAGACTCATCATCAGTGCGCATTCACGACTCCTGCACCTCGCGGGATCCAAACATGGGACCTTCAGTATTGTTTTATTAAAAAACCGTGTGACAGATTAAAATCTATGTGCCTTTAATTTCCTGAAGCATTAAAAACGTTAGTTTAATCTCACGTAAATAACATTAAGCTGATACAAAGCTTGGTTAGCTATAGATGACCTTGCTAATACGGGAACTCTTTAGCCTTTTAATGTCTTAGCAGCCAATATTTACTTATAAATATCTCCTCACAAAAGAAAGACCAGTTCCTTTTGTATTACCGATTTTTAAATTTATTTTCAAAGTATATATTTTCTGACAAAATTTCCTTCAGCTTGCCACCTACCAGTTTAGTGCTTTAATACTGTCGGTAAATTAGCAGTAAGGACACATTTTAGTAGCCTTTGCCAATGAAAATCACCTAATATACCCTTATTGTGTTCTATGTTTAATATCAGCCTTACCAACTTGTATGTTCAAATTCAAGCAAGAACGTTCTCAAATACCTACCGGCAACCATCAGCGATTTGTGTGCCTCCTATATTTGAAGACTGGAGACTTCGTTGAAATACAATCTAAGATATAAAATCCATAAAAAAATTATCGCAACAAACCCTTGAGTTAACGTAGATCAAATAGCATTCGTACAAACCCTCTACTTCAGAAGCTTATGCTTTACTTCTTACTGGTTACTTGCTCTGTAATAAGAAAACACTAAAATCACCTAAAATATAGACTCTTATCTACGGACGAAAAGATAGTTTTGGGTACGACAAAAGTTTGATATAAGCCACTGTATACATTTGCGTAGTTTAAATAAGCTGATTCAAACTTGCTAGTTAATGATTTACGACTCATTTTAACATTATAAAATGTATGTGAATTGATTGTAGGAAATATAATAACTATTATTTTGGTGAGACAATGGTAGAACAGGTGAAACGAAAGATAGAAATCAATCGTTAGGCATAACCTGAAAACAACCATATTGCAGTAGATGTAGAAACAACGAGTTCCTGATTAAAATGATCAATGCTGGTCGATCAGACGCTCAATGAGAGTCGCAAATGAAATCTTCAGCGGAAAGGGACTTTTGTCCCGGAACACAACAGGTAAAGACTGTCACAAAAGTATTCCAGTGTTATTAAATGTAGAAATTTAAAAATCTAAAATATATTGGAATTTCAGTAAATAAGTGTGAAATTGTGCTCAAAAATCAGCCCATAACAATCTTAATGAGTTTTTGAACTTACAGGATATTTTCTTGGAAGTTATTTACAGTGATAGGACTGAAAAGTAAAACTTACAAAGATAGACTCCAGCATTTTGGATTATTCTGCCTGAGTTGCAGGAGGATCAGAGGAGACCTGATTATGGTGTGCAACATAAAGGGCGCACCAAATCATACCATATTGTACACCTTACCAATACATCGCTACCACACCCCCGAGGGAATCCTCAAAATCTTGAAAATAAAAGAGCAAACACCAAGTTTCGCGCACACCTTTTCTCATTAAAAGTCGTCGGAACTTGGAATGCTCTCCAAACGGAGGTGACTACAGGCCTTTCATTCGACAACTTCAAGAAGATACTTGATAAACAGGTAATAATATACGGATCGTCATCTTCCTTGTAGACCAGTTGTGTATGATGCATTTCCTAGAACCTTCTAGTTGTGATGATTGCTAATTTAATCTTTCTCGCTTATTATCTCTGTTTTTCCTACTTTGGCTACACTTTGAGGCCCCCGCACGATCTTCGCTACCCATTATTAAACTAAATTATACATTTATTACTCAGTTCTGAAAACTTCTTCCTATTAGCATTACAGTTTTCCCCTTATTATTCTCCACACTGCAACTAAGAAGACAGCCAGTAATACACCTGTTTAGCGAATGGATATGTGGAGATGAAATATATGCGGTTAGACCAGTAAATTGTGGCCCACCTAGTCTTATCGCCTTCGTTCATTAAAATGCTACAGTCGTTAAATTCTCAATAGTTGATACTGACTTCCAGCGTGGTAACGTGATAGTTGCTGATATCCACAAACCTCACTGTTCTGTTATAAACGTATTCATTGAAATCACTGGACATAAAAACTCACAAACAACTGCCAACCGACTAGAATCAGGCAGTCGAGCGGATAAACCCTATCAATTGGAAACTATCAAACAACTGGAACCGTACAGAAAGAATAAGAATAGAGCTCAAAACAATTAACTGGTCTATAGTGGCATACGAAAAAGATATTGGATATTAGACTAGAAGACTCTAACGTAAAACCCGAGACATCTTATAAACTATTTTAAAATTCGCAATTCGTAAAAAGAGCTAAGCAACATTATCAGTGGACATTTAGACCAAATGTCGATATAGTACCGTTTATATCTGACAGTGGACTGTGGAGAGATTTTATGGTGATCTCCGTAAAGAAGATCGAAATGATTTGAGCTAATGACTCACTGAGCACATAGGATTCACTTATTTACGACAAAAAATCAAATTAAGGCCAAGGCATCACAAGAGTTGGATAGAGGTAATAGAATAATTGAAAACATGAGCAAACAAAACAAGAGCTTTAACACGTTACACCATGATATTTGAAAAGAAGTTGTCCGTTCTCATGGTTAAAATCCTATTTTGACTCACTTAAACAATATCCAATATATCTGACATCTTTTTCATGTGGTAGTATA